AACATATAGTGCATATTAGAATACAAAAATAGGAAAAAGTTGACTCGACCCCATATTTAAAAAGAAAAAAAATGGAAAAGGGGGGGGGGTCCAGACCCCAAGTGCCTGTGGGCTGACATGTTCCATACCAATTGTTAGGCAGCCTATGTTTTAATGTTAAATTTGACCACGGACTATTCCGTCTACCTGATCTATACATAGGGCTCACTGCGGATATGACCGGTCAACAGGGGATGCTTACTCCTACGTACCTGATCCCACCTCCGGAATTTCCGGTGTCCGTGTGTTATGCCCTGTTCACAGATTTATATCTAGTGAAATGTCCAATTATGAAAAAGATGTTTCAGACTCTGTGGTATTTTTTATTTCAGTTTTACTGGGATATATCGAGTCGACATGAATGGAAGTAACTATTGTTAATTGGTTTTGCCAAAGGTCAAGATGTCCAAAAATTTATCTTTGCAATAGCTCCAAAACTATGTGAGGTAAATGTATAAAGTTAAAACTTTTACAGTTTATAAATATGTCATTGATTAACATATAGAAAGTATCACTTGAAAACAAATATTTAAAAAAAAATATTTTTTGAGAAAAAAAAAATCAAAAAAATTGCATATTTTTAAAAAAAATGCACCTGTTTAATTCTGTACTTTAAGTGAAAACCATCATTGAAGAAATAATATATGTTTATCAATGAAGGGCAAGTTAAAAGGCTGTTATTAAAAGCATGGCATGTATAAAGAAAAGACCCCTATAAAATCCGCCATTTGCAATGTACTTTCGGTTTCAAATCTTAACATTTGCCAAAATAAACAGGGAAAACAACTTAAATTTCCGAAGGCTATCGAAGTCCAACTTGCCCTTCATTGATAAACATATATTGTTTCTGCAATGATGGCTTTCACTTAAAGTACGAAATTAATTAGGTGTATTTTTAAAAAAATATATGCATTTTTTTTTTAAAAGAATTTTTCTCGATAAACATTTTTTTTAAGTATTTGTTATCAAGTGTTACTTTCTATATATATGTTATTCAATGATATATTTATAGACTGTAAAACTTTTAACTTTATAAACCACATAGTTTTGGAGCTATTGTAAAAATAAATTTTTGGGCATGTTGACCTTTGGCAAAACCTTAAGTGTTATTTACGGTAGTAAATATTTATTCAGCTGAAAATTTTGTTTGGTTTATTCAAGGATTTTTTGTGAAGGCGTATAAACGCGGGCACTTAAAACTGCTTCTGCAAATGCCTTAAAAATTTCGCTATCAAACAAAAATTCAGTTTTTTAAATAATAGTTTTTTCAACAATCTGTCGAAATTCCCATGGGTATCTAATGCACCCCGTTATTAGCAGACCTATTTTTGTATTCATATGAAGCAGAATTTATTCAAAAGCATATATGAGAAGAAGAGAACACTTGCTGTGTCCTTCAACTCGACATTTAGATATTTCGACGACGTATTATCAATTAACAATAGTTACTTCCATTCATGTCGACTCGATATATCCCAGTGAAATTGAAATAAAAAATACCACAGAGTCTGAAACATCTTTTTCATAATTGGATATTTTACTAGAAAAAGACGTTAATGGAAACCTAGCAGCAACTTCAACTTTTCGATCGTCAACTTCCCTTCCTTATGTAGCAACATACCTTTATCACCTGTGGTGTTTATATCTCCCAGTTGATTCGATAAGAAGTGCATGCTCCAGAGCATGCTACTTTATATATATATATTTTTAAACATTACTTAACGTTGTATTTTTCTTTCGTGTGTTGAAAGCCACGATCCGCTCCTGAATTCATAAGAAATATTGTAAGATAGAGTCCTTTTCTTCTAAAATTAAAAGAAGATTTTGAATATTTTGTTAATCAAACTGAGACATTAATTACACTTACTTTGTTTTGACATAAACGCATACTGTTTTCGCTCTCAATCGGATCAATTTTCTTTGGGTACAAAAATCGTTTAAGATTTAAAAAAAAAAACATAGGTTGGCTTAGACTAGATTACCAATCATTGAATTCTATCATGAACAATTTGAATTAATTTGTGGTTTAGTAACATTGAATTACGTTTTACTTTAAATGAATACAAAAATAAAAAAAAGTTTGTTTTTTTTTTTTAAATCCTAAATGATTTAACAACTTAATCAGAATAGAAGGTCTTCATTGTTTTTGAACGATACAACGTTACATTATTTCTAAATTAATTTTCAGAACAGCCTATCAGATTAAACAGTTCGGATACACTACCTTTTATGGGAGGCACTTTTCAACACGTGACGATGTTTTCGTCAAACCCATTCTCCAATCAATTGAAAGAATCGCAAAGCATGATGGTCTACTACGTGTTTACCATTCAACAGCGACATGTGTTTTTCATCGGTTTACTGCATAATGTTTACTTAGTCACCGGAAAATGTACAGCTTCTTTTTCGCTTTATAGGCTGAAATTGAAAGATTATAAACCAAAGACACTGTTCCGTGCTCACATTAAATATTGGAGTCGTTTTAAGTCGAGTTAAACAATAATTGCACACTTTGTACTGATGTCTTGATAAAAGAAAAATATCTTTAGTATAATACAAAATTATTTTCGAAATACATGAATATATATATGTAGATGCAAAATGCACTCAAAGACAGTAAATATGTTTGCATCTTGTATGTCAACAAAATCATCCAGATCTTTTTTTTAAATTTCACGCCTAAAACTCCTATTAAAATATAATTAAATAAATTTTCTAGTCGCTAATGAGCACTCTTTTTAAAATGGTATTGGAATGCATGTACAGAATGCTATTACCAAGAAAAAAATTACGCTAAGCATTCTGTAGATTAACTTAAAAATACTTTAAAGCGCATTCTGTCAAATAAGGTTTTTTCTTTGCTGTCTAAAACTACCTATATCAAAAGAAGAAGAAAAAACTATCGACATAACAACACCTCCGTGTCTTTGAACAATAGCTGACGTCGGTGTATTTTATGTTGATATAAGGATTCATGAACCAAATTTTGTGAATGTGAGCATACAAATGAAAGATTAATCATTTTCAATATTTCTTTTATAGAAATCGAAAAAGAATTGAAAATAAGTTTCCAAAGAACAATTAAAATTGCTCTTTATTTTCAACACACTGTGTACGTATCAATTGACACTATTGCATTGCAACTCATTCTACTGATTGGTCAATCGGTAAAGTAAACGCATGGCTTATTTAACATGCAAATTTATGCTGACGTCAGAAAATCTAGTAGTCTCGACCTGTTAAAGGTGACAGGTGATTATGTACCAGTTATAACTCAAACAAGTAATCAACAATATAAGTTGTATATTAAATGATCGTAAAAAAGATGCGACGTAACTTAGTGGTAAAGGCGTTTGCCAGTGAATAAAAGATAGAAAAAAGGCGTACGCCCGTGAAGTAGAAGGTCCTGAGATCTAGTCCATCTTGCGGACACTTTTTAAATTTTTTAAATTCCAAACGCCAAGTTAACAAATGTGTAAATCCGGCATTTACAATTTGCAAAACAAAATTAATGTTTAAAGAATAATATTTTACCTATAGAAGCAGTTTATTGATTGTGTAATGGCGGCTTAATGAAGGCTTAAAGATGGATTACAGGCAGCTTATAGGAGTTTGGACATTAAGCACCTCTACGTCTGGCTATTTATTACTTATTGTTTTAAAGGTGACTTAAAGACGATCTTTAATCGACCATTAAGCAACCTTAAGCTGTCTTTAAGCCAAGCTTAAAGGATGTGTTTCATTTAGTGGTTCAATTATCTTCACCTTTTCAATTGTTAAACTTAATATCAAAAATGTGAAGTTACGTATGTACATGTATCTATAAAGGTTTGATGTTAAGTGCTATACATAAATTAATTTTAAAGTTTTTCCTCCAATACATTTTTATTCAAATAAATTATGGGAACAAAAACACTCTTATTTCATCTTGAATAGACACATTAAAATTTGTGACAACAAAAAAGTTTCAAATTACTTCGCGTGGACAGTTATTTGACCTTTCTGCACTCAAGAAATGTCATTTTTCTGGCATTAAAAATTTTTACAATCAAAAAATCTTTTGAAAGTAATGACATATTACTGAATTTAAGAAGAATGATTAAAAGTATCTTATATATTCAGAAAAAAAAAATAAAAATGGGTGTCTGTGATGTTAAATTTTTAGATATTATTAATTAAAAATAGTGTTAATTTTGAGGTTAAATTGGGACAATTTTTTTTCTGGATTTTCACAATTATATTTGCTATATTTGTCAAATATGATGATAGAATATATAATTTAGGACCATCATGAAACAGTTCACGGCACAAAATAACTCTGTGTGCATGCTGCATGAAAAATAGGAATCCAAACTTAGCAATACTTAAAAACTTCGAAAGAGAAAAAAAATGATCATATTCTTCTAAAAGAAAAACCTTCCGCCACAAAATTCAGTTCCTCACTTTATGCTTTTTGAATGGAATTTAATCATGGGGTTTTAACTGAATATAGTTTAATTGGCATTGTAGAATCCTAATTTATTGCAAAAACTAAAACAATTTTTTAAATAAAGGTCATGACAAAAATCTACTCAAAAGCTCAGAAGAGAACCTCTTTAACACGTACCAAAAATATGACAATTTTTCATTACGATAAACCTATTGCGTAGATTTTTTTAGGGGACCCTTGTATGTTTTATTATACCGTTAGAATATTTATTACATTTGAGAATGAGTAAGTCTTGAAGACTCAAAAAACATCTATGAAAATCAATTCATTTTTTTAAAAACACAATTCAAGGGTGTTCATTTAATGCATTTCTTCTCTAAATCTAAGAATTTGCATAGAATAACAAAAATTATAGCATCTTTTCTTATTCTTTTATTAAAAAAGTCAACTGTTCATGAAAATTTGGCACTTTAACTTTGAGGCAGAAAAAATACATTGTTAATAACTTTCTCTTGCGAAGTTTATATCACTGTCATAATATAAATCCAGAAAACGAGGGCCAGTACGACCCGCTCACGAAGTCCATTGCTTCGGTTGCTATGACCCAAACTTTATCGCCAGACATTAGTTGGACATGAGTGGACTGGGAACAAGTGTTTCTTTTCCCTATTGTAGAAAACTGATGACAAGAGAGAATGGCTATTGTAGCGTTGTTTTTCACCAATGCTGTGTCAACGGGGGAATCTGGAAGGGAGGTAACACTCCACGTGAAGAAATAGACTCCGGACATTGGGGCAGTGAAGGTATTATTTTGATAAACATTACCCATGTTGACAACACTCATTGTATATGGTATAGTGTCACCGGGCTGAATATCCGTGACATTTTCAGACATTCTTGCTGTAAAGGCTATAGGTTGATGGCGCATATGTCCTTCATAAAATAAAAAAAAAATAAGTATTCACAAAGAAAGCAGAAATGATTTGAAACAATCAATTGAATAAAGTTTACATGTAATTTATAGATATCTTCATAGCAATGTAAAATAATATATCATTTTTTATTTAAAGTACTCTTTATTCCCGAGAACTTTCTTTTCGCGCAATTACGCGATACTGTCTACTTGCGAAAATGTCATTCTTGTATATATTTTTATTTTTTTATTAGTAAAGATTATATACAACAATACTCAAAATTCGTAAATTTTTTCTCGCTTATAAATACCAAATACCTATCTCACGAAAATATGGCTGTTGTGAAAATTTTATGATCTACAGTAAATATCATAAGGTGAAAACCTCAGAAGCGACAATTACTTTATATATACCTTAGTTTCCAAGTTTTAATAGTATATTTTCATATATTTTAATTTTGGATGTAATGCGTCATTTGATTAGATAAAAAAAAATAATTTATATCATATAACCTGTGTTGCCTACATCACAATGACTTACGTATAAAAAACGTATATCTTGTTGTTAGATAAGTAATTAAAACAGAATTGACGTGTTTATTAAGTACTCACCACGACCACGACCACCATGACCGCCACGATTTTCCTGACCTCCACGACCACCACGACCACCACCTCGACCACCAGGGCCACCTCGACCACCAGGACCGACACGACCTTCACAGTGTTGAATAAAAACAACAAGGACAACCAACAACAGTATTCTCAGCATCTAAATTTTAAAAAAAGATTGCCTTCATTAGGGCCAATTGCTACCGAAATGTGTTCGGTATTATTTACCTACAAATTTCTCTTACTGAATAAATTATTCTGTTAGTTATCGGACAAAGACTATCTCTCTCAAAAAGTCGAACATTCTTTAAAAATTCCGAATGGCGTGGAACCCCATTTTTGGACATTATGATAATATTGCTCTCTTTAAAAATCAGTCCTTATCATTTGTGTATTATTGTGTTATCAATGTCTTATTGAAACATAGCTAAAATATAAATTTAACTTATAACTAAAATACAAAAATGAAAAAAAAATCGCTTAAACATACATTTCCTACCTTGATTGTTTTCTATGCCTATGAAACCGAGAATGCAGCAGCCGTAGTATTTATATCTGTATTCGTAGATGACCAGTGTTTATTCTTGTCACGTTTTCTTAATAAATGTCATACACCTTCTGATACATTTTATTTTTTTAAACGCAATAATTGTTGTTATTAAAACATTTGCTGCGTAAATTAATGATTAATGTATGATAAAAGACACTGAAAAAAAAACAAACGTTGACACCTCTCCCTTTTTCTGGTTTAATCTAGAATTTTTATTAAGTACTGAACTTGGATTGTTTATTGTTTTTGTAAAGTTTTTCCGAAGGTAAGTGTCTTTATTTTTTAAAATACGTTATCTAATCGTCAAAACTTTATTAATACTATTACGTTACTCACTTCAAAATTCATGTATCATATCTTCAAAGCTTTATCAACACACTTTATTACTTTACCCGCTTCGTTTTTTTTTTTTTTTTTTTTTTTTTTTTGTTTTTTGTTTTTTTGACATTAGAAACGATAGGACAGGATAAACACAATATAATATGGGATGCATGCATGATAAGATAGGATAAACGGTCTTTACGATTGTGGAAAAGTTTAAAAATAATCTGAATCAGCATTCAGATAATATATGACAGTGCAATTGTTATGTAGATAGATGTAGAAAATCTCTCCCCTCTCACTCTCTATCTCTCTCTCCAAATTTCAGCGCATGAGCAATGGTACATGTACCTCGTTACGGATTTAAGCTTTGAGTTGACTTAATCGAAGAATACATTTTACATCCCAGGATATGTCGTTGAAACACAAAGTTGGTCAGAAAAAGTTTTTGGCATAAACCCTCTGACGTGAATTTCCCAAAGAACAAGGTACGATAAATACCAAAATCAGCCATGTCCCCAAACCAGATGAAGTTTTAAAAAAAACTTTAACTTGTCTTAGATGTCCTCTTTTAATTTATCTCAAATCATTTTTCCACAGAGCCTCTAAATATAGATATTTTTCTTCACTTTGAAGTTATAACATCAATATGGCTTTTTCAGACTTTGATATGTTGATATTTGAAATGATAAATGACCTGGTACTCTTATGTGATTCCAATGTGATTTATTCTAAAAACTAAAAGAAATTTTAAATTTAGCTGAATAAGTATCATAACTTTTAATTACTGGAAATATTGTTCTTCGTTAATCTTGATAATTTTCTGAGATAACGATTTTCTTAAGAAAGCCAATGGAACTTAATTTATATTCTCTGTATATACATGTATTATAAAATATTTTATGCAAACAAACAAGAAGATATACGCATTGCGTATATACCATAGTCTGTATATCATAATAATGATAATTCTTATTGGAATATTTTCCATTGATTTTTTCCAAATTAAGTATGATTTTTAGTATAAAAATCTAGGACAATATTTTATGCGTGTTTTGGTTTGATTTTTAAGAATACTCGTAAATTTACATAAAAGCTTCTAAATACCAGAAGAAAAAACCCGAATACCACCAGAATGTCAGATTACCTATAAAAGTGTATGGAAAAGCATTATAAACATTTCCGATCAAGTGCCGGTATTTTGATTTACCGATGGTACTGAAAAGGCAATCCCCAAAACTCATCCTTTCTATTGAGTCACAGCGCCATTAATACATTCGCCCTTATGATTATCTAATGAAATATGGAGATCTAGGGACAATGTCTATTAAAAGGCGTTTCTGTTTTCTCTCTGGAATATTTTTCAAAACTTAAAAGGAAAAATCACCGCCCTTTGTTAAATGTTTCATTATAGGTGGTTCTTGTAAAATTTACTAGCAAGGAATGTCCACTTCCATAACACATACAGTATTTGTAGGCGGATCATGGTAATATAACATGCACAAACCGCATGGCCCTCTGTATTTTTTTTTTTTTTTTTTTTTTTTTGACTTACATGTACATGTGTGCTCAAGATTTTTTTTAAGTTAAATGTTTGCGTTTTTATTCCATGATTCAATTTTTTTTTCGATACTTGTTCTGAGTCCCTTTTTGACAGAGCTTTGGTGTAACATTCAAAAGCGGAATAGTTTCTAAATAATATTACCTAACACAGCTGATTTAAATTTAAACATTATTTTTTACTATTTCTCTGTATCTTTATTCCTCTGAACTATTTAAGGAACTTCAAAGTGATTTAAGGAGGTTGGATCCTGCTTTCAGAAATCTTAAGAATTTTTTTATCAAGTATATTTTAAGTATCTACATATATAGCTTAATTAAAAAACAAAACAAAAAATGGGGGTCCATACGCTTCTTTTGGCGCTATGGTACATCTTATATGACCTTTTTGCAGTGAAATTCTGTCTTAAACAGATATAAATTCTTCAAAGTTTTTCTTCCAATAGTTTTTATCCAAATAAATCAATAGTACCAAATATACACTAGTTTATTTTGAAAAGAAACATTAAAAATTGTGACAAAGATTAAGTTTCAAATTACTTTGCATAATCAATTTGACCTTTCTGCACTCACAAAATGTCATTTTTCTTGCATTAAAAATTTAACAAGAAAGAAAATTATTTTAAAGTCTTAAATTTTTACTGAATTTAAGCAGAATGATCAAATTTATCTTAAATATTTAGAAAAGAAAATAAAAAGTGTGGTTACCAGACAAAAATCTTCTCAAAAGCTCAGGATCGAACATCTTTAATTGGACCACCGATAGATAGTTTGAAAATTTCTTTCTACTGCGCTACAATACATTCAAAAAGTGGTGAAGATCAAATGTAGATTCTCGAAGTGTCAAAAGTTCTTTTAGAAAATTTAAAATAACGTTTCCAAAATCAATAATATCAAATATATCACTTTTCTGAACTTCCTCATAATGAATTAAGGCCCTTTTTGACATCATAGGCAATTGCTTTTTCAATTAAATTGACACATTTTATTTATCTTGATTGATCATTTAGAAAGTTACATTGATAAAAATAACTCTGATTCAAAATAAATACTCTGAAATTAAATTTTCAGGAGGTTCGATCCTCAGGTTTTGAGATTTCTGACTGGACCTCTATTTTCAATTTTCTGTATCATATTTTAGTTCTTACAATACATTTGAATTTTACTAAACCAATAAAACTAAATTTAATTAAAAGCACACGAATAAATTTGCTATTACGTATTAAGTGAGGAACTATATTTTGTGGCGGAATGTTTTTAGGAGAAAATGATCAAGTTATTTCTTTCGAAGTATTTACAGTACTGTTGCTTCCTGTTTTTCCATGTAGGCTGCAAACAGAGTTATTTTGTACAGTGAGATATTTTTTGCTGATCCCGAACTGTATGATTAATTAACTATTATGAATTTTGACGTCAGATTGTGAGATATATAACAAATAAAACGGTGTTAGTCCAGGAAAAAATAGCCCCGATTTTAGCTTAGAATTTTCTCTTCTAAAAAAAATTACATTATAGACCCCCACTTTTAATTTTCTTTTCTGATTAAATAAGATATTTTTGACCATTCTGCCTCAATTCAGTAAAATATTAAGACTTGTGAAGAATTTTATTGCTTGTAAAATTTATAATGATAGAAAAGGTGACATTTTATGAGTACAGAAAAGTCAAAAATAGGATTATAAGATCTTTTGTCACAATTTTCAATGTTTCAATTCAAGAAACAATAAGACTTGGTACCAATATTTAATTGGATATTTACATAAAAAATTTTGCAAGAAAAACTACGAAAAATTGATGCGTGTTTCATATTAAATGCACCAATGGAAGCATATTGACTCCCATTTTTGGTTTTGATTTTAATTAAGCTATATGTGAAGAAACTAAAAATACATTGACAAAAAAATCTGAGGGCTTTTGATAGCAGGATCCAACTTCTTTAAAAGATGCTGGAGTCCCCTCATTGACAATATTTATGCAGTATTTTGTATAAAAAAAATTAAAAAAAAAAAAGGTTTCCAACAATCTGCTAAACTTTCGACGAGCAATAATTGTGCTTCTTTCTAAGCTGACCTGTTTTTATTTTCTTATGATGCGGACTTTATGCAAAAAGCTTCTACATTAGAAGAAACCTCTTATTGTGGCTTTCAATTTAGATATATGGACGATGTTTTATCAATTTTAAATTTAATTTTTTTTTTACCTCTAGCTACGTATGACGTTTATGTATGGAACGCCATCACTGCCTTATAGGATAAAACTATACATTCATTATGTCAACTTATCATTACATGATGTGAACATACCTTTACATGATGTCAACTTTTAAGTGAGGTAAAAATATCTTAACATTATGTCAATACTATATTACACGAAGTAAATATATTCTTCCATTATGTAAACACTTTATAACTTGATACCAGAAGTTCATTATGTGAAGTGAAAATATTTTTACACTGTGTCAAAACTTTATTGCGTGAAATGAATGTTTCTTTACATCATTTCATTTCTTTATTACGTGATGGCAAAATTGCATTACGTAAAGTAAAAATGTCTTTACATAATTATATTCTGTAATTAAACTTAGCATTACGTTAGGTTAAAAGTCCATTTCTTGAAGCGAGTGTATCTTTACATTATATCAAAGCATTATAACGTGATGTGAATGTATCTTTATATTACGCCAAAAGCATGATGATGTGAGGTGAATATATCTTAACGTTATGTCAATACTTCATTACGTTGTGTGAAAAAGTTAATTTCATAATATGAACATATCTTAATATTATATCAACACTTTATTACATGATGTCAAAACTCCATCCCATGATGTGGATATATAGTTAGGTTATGTTAACTCTTTTTGGTGTGATGTAAAATTATCTTTATATTGTGTTAACCCTTTATTGTGTTGGTGCCAAAAGTTCATTATACGAGATGTAAAATTACATTTACATTATTTCATATCTGTATCTCTCGAAATATCTATATGTATTGTGATAACATCTTTATTATGTCAATATACTCATTACGTGATAACGAATGTTTGGTACGTTTTCAGTGAATTTATCTTTCCATTTGTGTTGTTGAAAGAGGACGTAATTGCGTCAACTGAGCGTAGAGTGGACGTGGACGACTGCGTTTTCGCTACCGGGACAGGCCAGTAGAACTTGGGGGGGGGGGTCCCACTTTTTTTCTTCTAAGTATAGCACTTTGCTGTAGTAAATTGACCTTTAGATGTTGTTGCGCCCCCCCCCACACTTTTTGTTGCTTGTCAGAATATTTTTGGGAAGTTGCACCCTTTTTTTGTCAGTTTTTTTTTTTTTTTTTTTTTTTTTTTTTTTTTTGTCAAATTTTTTTTTGGAAATTGCTCCTCCCCCCACACTTTGAAACCGTTCCTACGTACGGAGATTGGGGCGAACCAGTCCTTTTTCCACTGAAACATTCCAGGGCCAGAATATCTATCTCCAAAATCTTTCACCCCCCCCCCCCCCATCTAGACCAAATGTTCGTGCCATAGAAAGCACGCATACACATGCGATACGATTAGTTTACACTTGTTGGAAAAAGGGAGGGTTAACAGCTGATAAAAACCTTAGGACAATGTCTTGTAGAAAGATTAGAAATAATAGACTTTTATGAAAGAATAATTCAAAAAAAAAAATTTCTAAAAACTTTTTACTGCATAAAACAAAATTTTATGTAACATTTGATGGGCAAAAATTGTCAGATTAAACGTGATCGAATTTTTGCATTAAAGAAAAATAATTTTACATCAGTTACATGTAATAAAGATTCCACAGTAATATAATCCTATATAAGTTTAAACTTGATATTTAATTGAGGAATAATTAAGTCTAGTGTATAATTTTATATTAGATGCCTTTTTTGTGCGTGCGTAACATAAAATGAACTTTCGGCATAACCTATTGAAGGAGTATAATCTGTGTAATGATCGGTATAAACAAACTTCATATAGTAAACTTTCTGTATCGTATAAAGATTTATTCACTTCACACAAAGAGTTGAAATAATATAAGATATGCTGACAACAGGCTATGCACCTTTGGCACAATGTAAAGGTACAATGGCATAACGTAATAATGATTTGCCGAAACGTAACGGCAAAATCACATCACGTAATGGATTTCCGCCATCATGTAGCATATTGTTAACATAATGTAGTAAAGAATTCACCATATGTGAACATTTTTTTCACATCATGTAATGAAATTCTGACATCATATAATAAAGACTTGATATAGATATAAGGATAAATTCACATAATGTAATGAACTACTTGCACCACATAATAAAGAGTTCACATAATGTAATGATAAAGTGATACAATATAGGTATTTTCAGAGAATTCATGAATTTTCGAGAACATTTAATAAAGAGTTGACATAATATAATAGATATGTTGACATAAAACAGATGAATTTTTACATAAAGTTAAGAATTTTTGACTTAATGTAGCATTAAATCGCCATGATGTGAATACATAATTGCATCACGTAATGAACATTTAACCTCACGTAATAAAGAGTTGAAATAATGTAAAGATATCTTCACATCACATAATAAACTTTTATTCTAACGCCATAAAGAGCTGACACAATATAATGTAAGGTTGACACAATGTAAAGAAAGTGTTCTGCTATAAGGCTGTGAGGGCTTTCCATATTTATGTCTCCCAATTGATTTAATACTAAAGAACTATGTTCAGAGTAGGATCAGTTTTAAACCGAGATTGGATGATGTAAATTAAATTAAAAATCTCGTTTAAAGTTTCAGCATTTCGCAAATTCTAAAGTCGATATATAATGACTTTGTTTGCAAATACAACTTATCGTTGGGTCGTATTTTGTCTAATGTGTTCCATACTAATTGTTAGGTCATTGTTTTTACACTAATTTTGACTAATGGTTACTCGGTTTACCTGATCAATACAGAGGAATCACGGCGTTTATGACTGGTTGACAGGGAACTCATACTCTTCCTAGGTATCCGAAATCACTTCTGGTGTTGCCTGGTGTACCATGTCTGTCCTATTCGAGATTCATATTGTGTACAAGATTTCCGTTCCTTAGTTACCGCTGTTAATATACTTTCGGGAGGAGTAAGGGAAGAGGCGTAGTAAAACATTCACTAGATCCCACTATGCATCTTTGTAAGGATTTTTATATTGGAATCCAGTATAGGTATGATTATTTAAATTCAATTAAGGTGTTGATAAAAATGAAATATTTAAAACTGAAATATTATTTTTGAAGAATGTCTCTCTTTAAAGGGGAACTATGAGCATACATTTGATTACAATTGTAAAATAAAATCCAAGTTCTTCTAAAATGGAATTGCAAAAATGAGCCTTACAAAGACTAACTTGTTTTATGTTTTGTCAGTCGGAACAAGTACGTACTGATCATGTAATCTTTTTAATTCTTTAATTACTTCGAATAACTGAACAGAGTTGTTTGATTTTGCCGCTAAACCTCCATGCTATACATTTTATTCATTTTGACAAAGTGACAATGTCTTCTCCGTCATATCTGACCCATCATCTGGTACAATCATTGATTCCCTAAATTCTGGACTTTTTAAAAGATTTAAGGTTATATTTGTGTGCTTAATATTTACAGCTACAGTAATGGCGTGCCCAGCAGGAGTATAGTTGAAAGGAAAAGAACATGAACAGGAAGATGTTGTTACAGATTGTCAATATCTAGGTACTGTGATTTTTTATTGAAAAGTTTGGAAAGAATAGTCGAAGAGTAATTGTAAGAAATACAGAGTGTGGACTTCAACTTGAAATATGGTGGAATGCAAGACTGGATCTTTTTGAGAGAAAAAAAAAATGTTACTATTATTTACGGCGTCAATTCCTTTCTTTGAGAATTTTAGATCAGAGAACCATTGATACACATAAGAATTATTCTCTAGCCTTCAAGAATCCAAGGTGGACTTTCTTTAGTCTTTTCAAATAGACCATTTAAAACTTTCAAGGGAAGAGAGAAAAGTTTGGTGTAGATGTGATTAGACAAAACGGTTTATTTATTATATTTAGAAATGATTCAAATGAATTTGTTTTTAAGGAAAGAATTTTTTATAAAGACTTCTGTATTTGCCTTAAGATTTTGATGAAGAAGAAGATTTGTATGTATCAAACAACTATATCCACATCTAAATATTTTCTTCTTTAAAGCATTTTTATGTCGTATGTTAAAATCTCATATAGCTTTAATATGCTGGTATTGATCAAACAAAAATGCAAGATCTTTTCGTATGCTTTTATTATGAAGGTACAAGTCTCGACAGTATTTGGCATTTTAGGTTTAATGATAAAATACAAAAAAAATATTTTAATTGCAAATCTTTTTCATAATTTAAATCCAGAAAACGAGGGCCAGTACGACCCGCTCACAAAGTCCATTGCTTCGGTTGCTTTGACCCAAACTTTATCGCCAGACGTTAGTTGGACATGAGTGGACTGGGAACAAGTGTTTCTCTTCCCAGTTGTAGAAAACTGATGACAAGAGAGAATGGCTATTGTAGCGTTGTTTTTCACTAATGCTGTGTCAACTGGGAATTCTAGAAGCGATGTAACACTCCACGTGAAGAAATAGACTCCGGACTTTGGCGCAGTGAAGAAATTATTTTGATAAACATTACCAACGTTAACGACACTCGTTGTATAGGGTATTTTGTCATCAGGTTGAATATCCGTGGCATTTTCAGACATTCTTGCTGTGAAGGCTACAGGTTGCATACGCATATGTCCTGCAGAAAATCAATACAATTTGTATTAAAAGTAGGTGTTTCACAGTTTAGTATAGCAGAATTTGAATTATTTCAAATAAAAAATTTAATTTCAGTTTCACAAACATACAGTTGTTAACAAAATAAGAATGTTATTACTGACAATATGCAAGTCACTAAAAACTTTTAGTTCGTTGATTGATATTATTAGCTAATTATCCGTCCTTTAGAGCTAAAGCAATTTAAGGACAGATGAAATAAAGAAATGTATTTTGAACCTATTTTACTTGTAAACGACGAAAATATCAAATTTCTAAAATATCAAGAAAATGTAAACTTTCTATGACGTTAAAAATTATACCTTTTTGCAATCACCCGTATAAATCTAAACAATTTTTAAAGACTTTATAGTATATTCCTGTCAACTCTTTTCCTCTGAATGGTTTTTAAACTGATTAAATCAAAACGCGTAGTAGAATCGATTTTTAATTCTTAACAAGTAACCCCCCCCCCTTTTTTCTCACCCAGAACTCATGCACTTTCCTTGTCTTATTAAAGATCAAACATTTTTATCAATTTTTATTTTGGATGCGTTATTTTGATTAAAGAAGCCACCTAAAGGTGAAATGTGTAGACAACTCTACCAGTTAAAACTGCTGCCACCTAATGGTGTTTCAAGGGCAATGACAATTCACGACTGCCAAAAAAGCATTTATTTATATAAATGAAAATTATTATGAAACTTTGAATGATAAATCAAAATATATTCGGTAAAACTTATTTATTTTATTACTATGAACGTGACTTCAGTTATTTTATGATTTTTGAAAAAAAAAAGTTTGCATCATCTGTCCTTAAATGTTCATCGTTTAAATTACAATATACCTCTTTTGTTACTACTATATTAAACAATTATGGACCGACTAGTAGGGAAACTTCAAACGAAATCAGAGCTGAGAAGGACTGGCACCCAGGGATGACAGGATGACATTTTTCTTTTCAGACTCGATAATTTGTGAAGTCTCAGTTCTTAACTGTCCATATTAATTTTATTAATTTATCCTGAAGAATCAGAATTTAATACAACAGAGCAGATTAATTTCATGCAAATTTATTGTTCTACAATGCTCCGAAAAAAGGGTCGACAACTAAAATTTATTGTTTACCGATCCTGCATATCCATTAGTTTATATATTTTATATATCAGAGTTATCTTGTATTTTATTGTCATCTAAAGGGAGATATCACTGTTTTCACCCTACTTATTAGCTCGCACCCTTTGACAACTTAAAGGGATCAGTCAGTTGTCTCCCTTTACATGTCATACTTTGGGCCAATCAAATTGACCTTAGTAGGGATGATAAAAGCAATCAAAGTTAAACTCATGTTGACAAAGAACTCACCACGACCACGATCACCACGACCGCGATTACCTCCAAGACGACCACGATTTTCACGACCGCCATGACCACCACGACCCCTACCACCTTCACAATATTGAATAAAGACAACAAGGACAACCAACCCCAGTATTCTCAGCATCTAAATTAAAAGATTTTGGACATTTCATAACGCAGTAGACAAGTTCTGAACTATATGTGCAGTATCATTCCGTGCTTCATAATTTTAGTAAAAATGTTCCCAATGAATTATTCTATAACTTAGCGAAACATCTTACTATCTTAAAAAGTCAAGTCTTTACAAAAAAAAACAAAAACAAAAACAAAAAAAAAACAATTTGAAACAAAGACTCGCATTTATAGTATGATACTTTTGATTCTCTGATGGATTATTTGAATAAAAGTCAACACCCCCTGTCACCAGTGGATTCTTACAACTATAGTATATTAGATGTGATTAATAATGATCGTAGAGGAATCGCTAAGAAGGTTCCGCTAAGAATTCAAACATCTTTCGTTACTGAAATATAACAATATGAAGTTTCTTTTTTTAAAAAGAGTAACCAAGAAATAATGATAATCTTAACATACAAATATCTTACCTTGGTTGTTTTCTTTGCCTATGAAACCGAGGATGCAGCAGCTACTGTATTTATATGACCAGTGCTAATTAAAGTATAAAAAGTATCGAGCCCCACATGCTTTGAGGGATTAATTATATTAATGATGACTGTATTTACAGTTGTCCAAAATCCGGATTTGTGCAGTTTTAGCATCATTTTTGCCATGTGTTCTAATTAATATATTTGTCTATATACAATGAGTTTTGTCATTAAAAGCACCTGCTGCGTAAATAATTTCGTTTATCACGATGAGATACATAGCACAAAAGCACGCAGACATCTGCATTATTCTCTTTGGTAACATGTTCAAGGCTAGCCTTTAATTTTTATTCAGTACTAAACTTATATTGTTTTACTTTGTTGTTTAGTTTTCTAAAGGGTAAATGTTATTTGCAACATAACGGCAGTAAAACATTTATGAACAAAGATTAACTTTATTACTTTACATGTAACATTATTTTATAGCGGATATATACCAGCACGAAACGATCCTCCTGCATACAATTTTATTTTTTCAATGTGTGGTAAGCGTTGTTTACAATAAACTCAGAATCTGATAATTCTGAAAATGTATTATCTTTTCCACTTCTTTGTGTAGTCCGTAGGAATACCTCGACTCGACGTTCCTATCCAACTTGATTGTCAGAAGGCAACAATATACATTTATTGACTGAGTTCGAGGGCAACACGTGTTTTGTCGGATCCAAAAACCGAACTGTATGCCTGAGGCCGTTAGGCAAGCAGTTTGGTTCGGGGGATCGACAAAACACATTTTGCCCAAGAATACAGTCAAGAAATGTTTTGTTATACCTTTTATTTTTTGACATGTATCTTGTGCTGGCTTCCATGATAAAAATTTTAATGTCAATTCTACCGCTGTCGAACACCAATGAAGGCAAATAAGATTTAGCAGATCCCGCCCAAAGTGTGACGTACGCGGTCCAATATCTCAACGACAGATCCAATATCTCACTCTATGCGTATGGTCAAACATCGATTTTTTTTTTTTTGACCGCTGGGTAAACTATTGGAAATATTAGAGTTTTTGTATAGATTTACATAGGAACCAATTTTTAAAGGTATAACAATATACAATGTCTTTTCTGTACAATGTGTTTCGTTCTTCATCAATAAAACTAAATGTACCTATTAATTAAATTTGATTTCGTATTTAGGCACTTATCATTGCGCTAGTATTGATTCATGAATACAAGTCTTAAACAAATCACATCAAAAGCAAATACAGACTGCATATACAAGAATTTACCCTGAATGAAAATTAATACTCATTCATGAATGTTTATCATAAATTAGACTTCAAATACAATGTAATTGTCCAAAATAACTTTATATAATAAGCAAGTTATAATATTAATTATTTTAGTTATATTTTGTTTGTTTGTTTTTTAACGTCCATCTCGAGAATTTTTCACTCATATGGAGACGACACCAGTTGCCGGTGGAGAGCTGCAAATTTTGACCTATACTCGGCACTCAGGGCCATTGAGCAGTGAGGGATCTTTTTCGTGCCAGCACCTACTGCGACACGGGACCTCGGTTTATACGGTCTCATCCGAAGGACCGGTCTTGACGTCCCACAGTCGGATTCGAACCCGCGACGTAAGGACGTAAGGATCATATCCTTACTCCCCGACTCCAGAGCAAACGCTCTAACCACTGCGCCACGCGACTCTTCTGTTATTAAAAATCACTGCAAAGGATTTTTCAAGATTTACCTTGAACTTTACAGTCGTTCCTTGCTCGAGTACGACTGAGTCAACATTTTTTTTGTCACAAGTCATCTACATATTGACGTCATTTTCACATTGTGACGTCATAAACATGGAGCAAAATATTACATAACACCTGCTATTTATAGATCATGTTATGCCAAATTTCATTCTAATCTGAATAATGGTTCTGAAGATACAGAGATCGTTCGCGAACTTTTTGATCACCCCTCGTATATATACTTAATTTGGGATGTCTTGAATTCTGTATACATGAAAAAATTGTTCAGTTTTATTTTTCCCTTCAGTGGGCATTCAAATCGGGACGAATTCAACATACAGAGTTATATAGAGTCTCTCTCATTTAAACAACTGTGTCTGGGCGAATTTAAAAAAGGAAAAAATCGGTTTAAGTGTGGTAGGGCCAAAATAACATGGGCAAAAAAAACCCTGTATACAGTGCTTACGAAACATCTTTTTAAAATCACCACTCTATTTGCTCTTTTTAAAACAATCCAAAGGCGTTTGTTGATTTTTTTTCTCATAAAGCTAACAGCTTCTAAGGTATAGATAAGTGATTAATAAATTACAATATCTTCGAAAATTATTTTATTCAGAAAGCCAAATGAACATAGAAATTTGGCATTTCAAACAAGAGGCAGAAAAAACATAGTGTAAGTTATTTCTGCCTATTTTTTTTTCTCATAATCGAAATCCAGAAAACGAAGGCCAGTAAGATGCGCTTACAATATCCATTTCTTCAGTTGCTATGACCCAAACTTTATCTCCAGAAATAAGATGAGCAGTGGTAGACTGGGAACAAGTGTTTCTCTTCCCAGTTGTAGAAAACTGATGACAAGAGAGAATGGCTATTGTAGCGTTGTTTTTCACCAATGCTGTGTCAACTGGGAAATCTGGAAGGGATGTAACACTCCACGTGAAGAAATAGACTCCGGGCTTTGGCGCAGTGAAGACATTATTTTGATACGCATTACCCACGTTGACAACACTCATCGTGTAGGGTATTGTGTCATTAGGTTGAATATTCGTGGCATTTTCAGACATTCTTGCTGTAAAGGCTACAGGTTGCATACGCATATGTCCTTCATTTAAAATCAATGAAATAAAAAGAAAGTGTTTCACGTTGATTATTTTTTCAAAATGTTAAGAGCAGAAAATCGCTATTGGAAAATGGAAGTATTGTTTTAAAGCAGACATTTCACAGCCAGTCAATTTTTAAAATAGTTTGCTTTTTTATATACGGGTATATTACCTAGTCATCTGCCTGTAAAAGCTAGAACATTTTATTTCTTTAATTACGATGTACCTCACTGGTTATGCATGCAATGTAATTAATAAGTACTTACCACGGCCACGTCCATCTTGATCGCCACGACCCCCAGCACCGCCACGACCCCCATGACCTCCGCGGCGTCCAGCACCTTCACAGTGTTGGATAAAGACAACAACGACAACCAACAACAGTATTCTCAGCATCTGCATTAAGAAGTTGTCTTTAGTTGGGAAAATAATACTAAATTGGATGAGATCTGAGCATGTGTGCAGTATTAGTGAAACGTATTTACTGCTTTCATATTTTTGATCAGTTCCTCAAAATTTTTCTATAACTTAGATGACAAATGGTATCTCTCTCTCTCTCTCTAAACACATCTCTCTTTTTTAAAAATCACGAACTAGTGGTTCACTGATGGATTCTTTGTACAAAATTAAAAACCTTATCACCAGTGTATTCTTATAATTATGGTTATTACCGGTGGTTCCCGAAAATTATAGAGGAATTGCTTAAAATACAAATATCTGTAGATACTGAGACATTATGTAACAATATAAGCGATCCACAAAAAATACTAGTAGCCAAAACATATATATTTTCTTACCTTCATTGTTTTTCTCTGCCTATGAAAATTACAACACAGCGGCTGTAGTATTTATATCTATATAACCATGATGACCAGTGTTAATTCAAGTCACGTTTTCAAAATAACTGTCAGACACCACATGGTTTGATAGATCATTGAAGATTATTCACATTTGTCCAAAATCCGGGTTTGTGCAGTTTGAACTATCATTTTTCGCCACGTCTGCTGATTGATATATTTGTCTAAATGTAATAAGTTTTAATTTGTTATTTAAAAATTTGTTGCGTAAATATATGATTTATTCATGATTAGATGCACAGTAAAACAACAAGTTGACATTTGCATTTTTGTCCTTAGTCATATTTTCAAGGCTGATGACAATATTTATTAAGTATACTGAACTTGGATTGTTTCAAGTTCTTGTTTATAGTTTTTCGCAAGGTAAGATTTTTTAAAATAATAAATACATATATGTATTAAAACAATGACCGTGTAGTTATATCAGCACATGCTACATGTATTACTTTACCCGCAGTGCACTCGGAGCTCCTCGAGTGGCTCGTACCTCGCACACTATCCTCGGACGTAAACGGTGTTCTACCATTTTTGCTGATACAGTCATGTGATCTTATTTGAAATTCCTACAAATGTTATACTTTTGAAATCTGAGTTACTTTGTGGCACGCCCAACACTATGTTTTTGCTTTCAAAGACTCCTAACATAGGATTGTAATCAAAAGCAATACAAGGAAGAATAAGACAAGCTAAAAAAAATTTTTAAAGAACTTTATACAGAGCGAAATATGAAATGAGTAATAGGGCAGTTTCCGGCGGAGAAATGTACCGATTTGATGCATATTCCTCCACCAATCACATCCAAGACAATCGGCAATCTTCGGCTGACTCGCTACGCTCCAAACAAACCTCGGATGTGATTGGTGAAGCTTTTATTATTTTCAATAACACAAAACGAATTGGACCTAGGT